GTTGTGGGATGTGGTCCCTTCCTGTTTTAATTTTCTAAAACAGAGTTTAAAAAAAAGCCCAACTATTGTGCATAAGACTCATGAGGCAATCCAAGAATATCAAATAGCCTTCAAAGGAGAGAAATGTTGCTTTATAGTAAGACTTGATTCAATTCTAGAATATTTTGATAGTATGCACCATTATGGACTGTTCAGTTCCACAGCACCAATTTAACCTCTTAGACCTCCAGTTCAACGAGCTAAAATTAACTTTGTGAAACATGAAGATTTCTCACTTTTCAAACTCAAAATAGTTTAAAAACTTTTTTCCCCCAGCTTAAACCAAATCACAGAAATGGCTATGTTAAAATGAATGCACGTATCTATTAAATGCCATTGCTTAAAAAGCTTTATTTTAGAAAATTAAATACCGTATATTTAGATTTTTGGACAAGCAGTAAACATTGTGACTGATAAGGCTAGAGATTTAGTACCACTGTTAAACACAAATCTACACATCCCAAACACAAGAAAAATACCACTGCTTTTAAGAGGGAAGGCTGGCATGAAACTAGGGTTCTGAAGGTCAATATTTTTTTCTTTTCCAACAAAATGACTACCCCAAGACATGAATACTGAAATTAAAACTAGTAAATATATAATCATTTAGCTCTGTGATTGAAATCATCAGTTAACTTCCTTAAACTATAGACTGCAGTACATATTCTATTACAGAGAACATTTCTGCACCATAGTAATTTCTCACAGATAGAGAATACTCCATGAAAATAGATACAAACAAACACTATAATGCAGCACGTGCAAATTCTGGACCAAAACACCATTTAAACAAGATCAGATAACAGTATTCATGCAAACTTACAGGTTTATATCAAAAGACTTATCCTAAAAGTAAAACCAATATAATTTATATCTATCCTACTTGTATTTGTCCTCCAACAGCTGCTGAAATTGCAAAAGCAGTAGCCAAATCAAAACTTCTACATCTCTTAGTCTCCCCCACTTACAGTAGAAATAGGGAAAACAGATCTTCCAAAAAAAAAAAAAGAAAGCATCCAAAGTCCTTTCCTGAAGTTAAAAAAAAAATACCAGAGTGAACCACTAAAAAATCCTCCAAATTCTTAATATATTTATTTGATCATTATATACCACAATTCATTCTCAGGCCAGTTGTTGAAATTATTTATCTTCCCTAAATAAGGAAAGCTTTATATTCCAAAATGCAACATTTTAAAGAAGCACAGAGAATGGTTATCTTTTTAAAAGAAATAAATTTATTATAAAATAAACCAAACATTTCCCATTTTATCTATGCACTGCTGCAGAAGAAACAAATATGCTGTGTGTATTTTGATATATGTTTTTAGGGAATATAATAAGTGACTGGAAAATAAAGTACAATGGAAGAGAACCATCATGACTTTTTATATTTCTCTACATTTGGTTACCCTTGAACACATTCTGAGCTCCACTGGTTGCTGCTGTTGATGCGGCGTTGGCTGCAGCAGTTTGTACAGTTTTGTTGGACATCACTCCTGTTGCAAACTCCTGCTGCGCTTTCTCAAAATTAGCACCAGTTGTGCGGTAGAGACCATGCACCTAGGGAGGTGGAAAAGCAGTGGAAAAAGTCTGCTGAACCTTCTATTTCTTAGTAGAGTAATAGTAAAGTCTCAAACACAAAGCAGAGCTGTGTGATGGAAAAATATGATTTGCTCATATGTTTAGGAGGATACAAAAATGAGCAACAGACTTTTTTCCCCCCACAAACTCTACAACTTCTGACTGCCCTGCTGTCCATGCAGTTTGACTGTAGGGATGCCTGCAACTTTTTGCAAGTTTGTGTGTGCTATCTACTGTCTGAAACAACAAATTTAAATACACAAATAGGCTGCATCCTTAGCATAACGCGTGCTAAGTGTGCATGTTTAAAGTAACATCAGGAAATAAAAAGAAAAAAGTATTTTTGAATTTACTGTGTAACATTCTGTTGAACTTTTTTCTACATTAATTTTTAGAAACATCTTAACCTATTAAGTTAAACTATGACTGAACATTTGTCCTTGTTTCAGCTGGGATAGAGTTAATTTTCTTCTCAGTAGCTGGTACAGTCCTGTGCTTTAGATTTAGTAAAGAATAATATTCAGAACACACTGATGTTTTGGTTGTTGCTCAGTAGTGTTTATCCTAAGTCAAGGACTTTTCAGTTTCCCATGCTCTGCAAGTGAGGAGGTGCACAAAAAGCTGTGAGAGAGCACAGCCAGGACAGCTGACCCAAACTGGCCAAAGGGATCTTGCATACCGTGGAACATCATGCCGAGTATATAAACTGGGAGAGTTGGCCAGGAGGGGATGATTGCTGCTCAGAGACAGGCTGGACATTGATCAGTGAGTGAGAAATTGTATTGTGCATGACTTATTTGAGTTTTATTCCTCTCTCTCCTTTTCATTATTATTATTATTATTATTATTATTATATTATATTATATTATATTATATTTTGTTTCAATTATTAAACTGTTCTGATTCTCCTTCCCACAGAGGGTATGAGGAGGTGTGAGTGAGCAACTGCATGGTACTCAGTTGCTGGCTGGGGTTAAACCAGGACAACTTTAAAAAGTATAAAATATCCCATTAACACAGATAAATATACACTATACTAATGTGATGAGCAATTGTTCTGCATAACAAACAAAAATATTAAACAATATGTCTTAAAATCTCTAGTACAAAAAACCCCCAACCGAATCCTGATTAACTTCCAAGTACCGAGTATTAAAATTCAAATCCTATTTCTGATTCATATTTAATCAGGCTGCAGGGAGTGCCAGAGCCTGGCAGTAGAGACAACAGCTCTCTGAGGTGCAACGAGGTGGATGATCTGCTCAGCCTGGTGGCAGAGGTGAGAGCAGAAGTAAAAAGGCTAAGAAGTATTAGCGACTCTGAGGACGCTGACTGATGGAGCTGTACTCTATCATCCCTTAGACAAATGCACATGCTGTGCACATCACAAGAAGCAATGGATCCCCTGCTCTCTCACCATCAGGCAGGAGAGGACCTTAGAGATGGAGGGTAATAGAAACAGGTTTCTGCTTGAGGCAGCAGGCGAATCCCCTCCTGACCTACCTCATCTTCCCAGGTGCCCTTATACAATAGGTATGAGGCTCTGGAACTTGAGGACCAGGGAAATGAGAATGTGGATGAAGGTCCATCCAGGTTGGAGGGGTAGTCTAAGGCAGGGCAACCTACTCCCACATGGCAATCACTTCAGTTAAGAAGAAAAGAAGGGTAGTTGTCATCGGTGACTCCCTTCTGAGAGGAACAGAGGGTCCGATATGCCAACTGGACCAAATCCGTGGGGAAGTGGACCCAACCCATAGGGACCCGGGTAAGGGTCATAACCAAGAAACTTCCCAACCTGGTCCGACCCACTACTGGTTTTCCAGGTAGGCAGCAGCGAGGTCCCAACAAGAAGTCTGCGGACAATCAAGAGGGACCTTAGGGTCTTAGGATGATTGGTTGAGGGATCTGAAACACAAGTAGTGTTCTCTTCTGTCCTGTCAGTTGCAAGGAATGATGGGGAGAAAAACACGAAGATCGTACAGATGAATACCTGGCCTTGAGACTGGTGTTACCAGCAGAATTTTGGGGGTTTTAATTATGGGTTGGTTTACATGACACAGAGCCTGCTGGCAACACATGGGGTCTCAAAGGGGAAAAAGGATCTTGTCTCAGGAGTTAGCAGGGCTCCTAGAGAGCTTTAGACTAGATTGGAAAGGGGACAGAGATAAAACCAGGCTTGACAGAGATGAGCCTGGGGGTGGCACACCACTGCTTGAAGGATGGTGTGCTAACAAGGTCCTTCAGTCTGCCATATCAGTGGAGGTAGGGGATGAAGATCCATATAGCAGTAAGAATGCAGGGGTTATTGATGTTAGAAATCCCATAAGTACCTGAGAATGGTCACACAAGAATTAGACCTTTTCCCTGCAAAAAGGCAGCAGGGTCATTAGCCCAACTGAAGTCCATCTACACCAATGCACACAGCACAGGCAACAAACAGGAGGAAAGAGAAGTCATTGTGCAGATGGAAAACTATGACGTTGCTATTGTGGAAACATGGTGGGATGACTTGCACAACTGAAATGCTGCAATGGGTGACTAAAAACTCCCCAGAAGGGATATGCAAAGAAGGAGAGACAGTGGGGTAGCCCTGTATGTTAGGGAGTGTTTTGACTGTCTAGAGCTTAATGACGGAGATGAAAGAGTTGAGTGTTTATGGGTAAGAATCAGGGAGAAGGCCAACAAGGCAGATCTCCTAGTTTGTTATATACGACCCAACCAGGATGAAGAGGCAGATTTAATATTTTATAAACAGTTGGGAGAAGTCTCACCATTGTTAGCCTTTTTTCTCATGAGGGACCTCAACTTACCAGATGTCTGATGGAAATACAGCACAGCAGAGAGAAAATAGCCCAGGAGGTTCCTATAGTGGGTGGAAGAGACCTTCCTGACACAGCTGGTGAGCAAACCAACCAGGGGAGGTGCCCAGCTGGACCTGCTGTTTGTGAACAGAGAAGGACTGGTGGGTGATGTGATGGTGGAGGCCATCTTGAGCTCAAGAGATCACGAAATGACAGTTTCTGATTCTCAGAGAAGTAAGGAGGGGGGAGTCAGCAAAACTGCCACCTTGGACTTCAGAAGGCAGACTTTGGCCTGTTTAGGAAACTGGTTGAGAGAGACTCTTGGAATGCAGTCCTGAAAGGCAAAGGAGTCCAGGAAGGATGGGACATGCTTTAAGAAGGAAATATTAAAGTTACAGGAACAGGCCGCCCCCATGTGCCAAAAGACGAGCCAGCAGGGAAGACCAGCCTGGCTGAACAGAGAGCTTTGGCTGGAAATCAGGAAAAAAGAGTTTACCACCTCTGGATAAAGGGGCAGGCAACTCAGGACTATAAGGATGTCATGAGGTCATGCAGGGAGAAAATTCAAAGTGCCAAAGCCCAGCTAGAACTTAACATGGCCACTGCTGTAAAAGACAACAAAAAGTGTTTCTGCAAACACATCAGCAACAAAAGGAGGGCCAAGGAGAATCTCCATCCTTTATTGTATGTGGGGGGAAACAGTGACAAAGGATGAGGAAAAGGATGAGGTACTTAATGTCTTCTTTGCCTCAGTCTTCAATAAGAAGACCAGTAGTTCTCAGGGTACCCTAGCCCTCTTAGTTGGAAGACAGAGACAGGGAGCAGAATGAAGCCCCCATAATTTAGGAGGGAATGGTCAGCAACCTTCTATGCCACTTAGACCTGCACAAGTCCCTGGGGCCTGATGGGATTCACCTAAGAGTACTGAGGGAGCTGGCAGAAGAACTCACCAAGTCCCTTTCAATCACTTTCCAGCAGTCCTGGGTTACCGGGGTGCTGGGGTCTTGGCAGTTTTAAAGGATTGTGCTGGGTTCTGAGAAGGCCAGGAGCTCACCGTTAGTCAAACAAGAACAAGTCTGCAGCTGCAGGAATGCAGAGGTCAGCAGAAAGCAATGTGTGAGAAACGGTGATAACAGAAACTTTTCCCAGGAATGTGTGCTTTAAGACTACCAATCGTTGGACTGTCTGAGGCGCATGGACAGTGTGTGCTGACCAATCATAATAGCATGCTGTGCTCCTGG